CAAACTAGCATGGGAAATATGCTGCGTGGTACCATCTATCCGATAAAATGAAAGGTGAGACACTTGCTTTATTTCTCTCAAGGTTGAAGAACAAACAGATAGATGCCGAAACGGTTCCAACAAGAATAATAAAAACTACAGTTATTTTCAACGTTGCTGCCTCATTCTTTTTAAGTGTTGGATGTGGGGGGGAGGAGGGGAGAACTTTGCATCCAACTTACAAATAGAAGCTTTTCAAGATAAATCGATTACTATTCTAACAGTCAAGCGGCTGCATTTGTTGATGTTAAATGTTTTGAAGATTCAGATAGTACAACGCATTTTTAATAAATTGGCCGCTGCATTTTTTAATTAGCACATCTCATTCATGTATAAGTGTGTACATCTATCTGTATGTTTATCGCCGCACACATTCTTGTATCGGAGTCAATGAATACAGTAGGGGATTTATCCGATGTGCCAGAATCTGTTTTGCAAATGATAATGAAATCTTAACTACAAGTCCCTCAACATTTCAGCTGTGTTCCTGGGCTGGAGGCACAGGTGAGGTACTGGAAATGCTAGAAGAAACTGCTGTGCCTTGGGGCAAATCCACAGCAAACCTCTGAAGCACATGCAGTGCACATTTAAAGCCCATGGCTCCCCCCACCCCCAAGAATCCTGAGATCCGTAGTTTGGTGAAGATGCTGGGGATTGTAGCTCTGTCATGGGTAAACTACAGTTCCCAGGATTCTTTGGGGGAAGCCATGTGCTTTAAATCACAATGTAGGTCTGTCCACAGTTTTTTAACTGGCAGGCTGTTTTTTAGGTTCCCTACCTGGTGGTTGCTCGGTCCCTGCTCCTGCCAACCTAGCAGTTCAAAAGCACATCCAAGTGCAAGTAGCTAAATAGGTACCGCTCCGGCGGGAGGGTAAACGGCGTTTCTGTGCGCTGCTCTGGTTCGCCAGAAGCGGCTTAGTCATGCTGGCCTCATGACCCGGAAGCTGTACGCCGGCTCCCTCGGCCAATAAAGCGAGATGAGCGCCGCAACCCCAGAGTCGGCCACGACTGGACCTAATGCCAGGGGTCCCTTTACCTTTACCTTTTACCTGGTGGTTAGACAGTGCTCCCTATCCTGGGAAGCACCAGTCAGCAAACGTTCTTCTTTACATTCCACTTTCCTTTGTGCCCTTTAATTCACAACAGAACGTGCTGACAAATTTTGCCTCTACTGTGCTGTGTGCTGTTCCTTTTTTTTTTAACCCTGAGCCTTGCAACTTACGAAGCAGCGTTTAATCTATTTATAAAAGTTAAGGGTGTCAGATATTACAGTGGTACCTCGGGTTAAGTACTTAATTCGTTCCGGAGGTCCATTCTTAACCTGAAACTGTTCTTAACCTGCGGCACCACTTTAGCTAATGGGGCCTCCCGCTGCCAGCGTGCCACCGGAGCATGATTTCTGTTCTCATCCTGAAGCAAAGTTCTTAACCCGAGGTACTATTTCTGGGTTAGCGGAGTCTTTAACCTGAAATGTATGTAACCTGAAGCGTATGTAACCCAAGGTACCACTGTACAGCAAAACGAGATAACTGCAAACATTCCTGTGTTCCATATAGGCTTAGAGAGTCCAGCACAGTGCAAATGTAATTTCACGATGATACAAAGAACCACAACTGCCGTTTGCTTTCTTTAGTTGTGACTTACCTGGGGTTTGTAGGCTAAAATTGGTCTCTCCTTTATATAGTGGGGTGGAGCGAAGCAGCTGTGAGCTCCTCTCTGAAAACCCATACATTTGCACAGTCACTGTAAGCCATAGTTCTGATTCCTGCTGTGCCCTTTCCAGCTCACTATGGGGGGAACACGTCAGTAAAGCATTGAAATGACAGATTATAAATGGCCCAGGTCAAGGGGAAAGAGTAGCCTCCACTGGACACCTTCCACTGATAATGACACTGTCTAATAGGTAAGTGTGACAATTGCACAGCCATATTTCATTCAGCACTTGCAATTATGCTGCTGCTGCTGTATCAGTGCCAGCCTCAAAACTTCAGAGCTCATAGGCATCCTTGCACCTCTCCTTTCTAAGGCCAATGCTTCTTTTCCAGATTTTAAAAATAAAGCACATCAAAGTGCAAGTAGATAAATAGGTACCGCTCCAGCGGGAAGGTAAACGGCGTTTCCGTGCGCTGCTCTGGTTCTCCAGAAGCAGCTTAGTCATGCTGGTCACATGACCCGGAAACTGTACGCCGGCTCCCTCAGCCAGTAAAGCGAGATGAGCGGCGCAACCCTAGAGTCGTCCGCAACTGGACCTAACGGTCAGGGGTCCTTTTACCTACCGTATTTTCCGCTCTATAAGACACACTTTCCCCCTCCTAAAAAGGAAGGAGAAATGTGTGTGCATCTTATGGAGCGAATGCAGGCGGGAGGCTCTGCTCAGCGCTCCGTTTAAAGAGCCGCGTGGAGCGTGTGTGCGGCTCTTGTGGGCTTTTTCCCGAGGAGGGAGAAGGGCACACGCTCCGTGCGCTCTTTAAAGGGAACGTGGCTCTTGGGGGAGCCTTAGCCACGCGCAGCCTCTCCTGGGCAGCGGGATGAAGGCTCCCCTTGCCCGGAAGAGGCTGTGTGCGGCTAAGCCAGAAGCCATGACAGCCAGCGGGAATGCAGCGTTGTGAGGGGAGCTACGCAGCGAACCCACTGGCTGTCCTGGCTTCTGGGATTCAGAATATTTTTTTTTCTTGTTTTCCTCTTTCAAAAACTAGGTGCGTTTTATGGTCAGATGTGTCTTATAGAGCAAAAAATACAGTAGTTTAGATGCTAGTTCCTGCTTCACATATCCTATCCTCTTGTCATAGTGCCATTTCCCCTGTTGCATGGAGGGACCAGCCCTAATTTGTAAGGAAAGCAAGGAGAGGTTCACTTTCCTGACAACCAAATGCTGAGCTCAGGGGTGGAGAGAGAGAAACACTGTATTTTTACAAGAACAGTGCAAAAAGAAAAAGAAAAAAAAAGGCACCTGGATCTTTCACGGCGATGGAATAACCAACTGCAATCAGAGTACTGGACGAATTCCCTGAAAGGTCTTTGGGACACAATTTCTCCAGCCATGCTTTAGAACGTCACAAAGAAAATTAAGTTGAAAGAGCTCCAAAAAACAAGGATTTCCAAGCTGAACTATTTCCTACATTGGTTTTCTTCCCCTTTCTCTCCTGCATTTTTTAAAAATGAAATAAACCTGCTTTTTTATATTGATTGTTTTATTATTGTGATTCATATTTGCATTTTATTGATTTTAATGTGTAAGCCGCCCACAGGACATAGTTAATTGGGCGATATATAAATGCCAAAATAAATAAATAAGCAAAGAGGCAACATTGTAGTTAGTTTCGCTTTTGCTCATTTTGTTTCTCATGTAGTAGATCAGTCAGTGCTGTAATAATGGGGATGCAAACTCCCCAGGAATATTGAAACCAAATGTTTCTCATTAACATCATTCCTTGGATATTTATTTCTATGGATTTCAACTCCCCCCACCCCCCGCACCAGAAAAAAAGTTTGTCCCATTGTGCAATCGTTCAGTTTTTAGACACTTAACATGTTTCTTTAAATGTTGCAGTTTTGAACCGCACCTTAATTTAAAACAGAATGAAACAGAAAGGGAATACATTATTGCAAAACAAGAGCTAGTAAACAGCAAGCCTGTGATAGATGGAATTCGTTTTACTAAAATATTTTAAATGCTTTAACATGGTAATCCGGACATTATCTTGAAATGAAATTTTTTGCCTCTTTGAGTTATGAACCTTTGCAAATAAGGTTTTATAATAGGAAAACTGTCAGCGCTTTAATTATAGGGTAATAAATAGCAATTCTGTATTAACTTCTGATATTTTCTTCCACTCTTTGAGCATGTGCCCAGCTATTGTTGGAAACTGATAATCACATACTGTACAACATCTTGCATTTCCAGCACACCCTTTATGGAAGCAGCTCGTTGCATCCTTCGTGGAAAAAAATTGAGGGATCTTCTTCAGAAAAAGGCATGTCGGTAGCTGTACAAACCAGCTTTGCATTTTAATGTCAAAATCATCGTCAGACCCCAAGTTCTGACTCTTGCCAGGGGAGACATTCCCTAGGCAAGGAGGATGCCAAGTCCAAAATCTTTGCTCCAGCTTAAAAAGCCAGCCTAACTTAACATTTGGTTAAGTTGGAAGAGATGGAGTCATAACATTGCAACTCAAGGAGGCATAAATGTTATCCAAAAGCATTTCTAATGAGGAGGAGGGAGTGGAATTTTAACAAGGAGCATTAAACCCTGGAAGAGCCCCTTTTATTGCTGAAGAGCTGCTTGGGCTGTGAGGAATGAGAGGCTGGGCCAGCCAAAAGGATGTGAGTGGGGGGCGGAGAAGGAAATCAAGGTTAAACGAGGCCAGGACGGTTTTACAGGGTTATAATGAAAGCGAGAACAATGAGGCAGAGGTTCAGAGAACCAGTTGTGGTGGCTAAGCATTACATCAGGGAGGGCAGACTCAGGCAGAAAGCCTAAAGAGTGTTTACTAGCAAGCAAGCCCCGTTGAACACAGCAGGGCTTCCGCAGAAACATAACCAGACTGAAGGATCTTTGAATGTGACCAGGAAGAGCTGCAATGATTTTGAAGAAAGGAGGGGAAAGTCTACCAGAGGAACGAAAACCCTGACCTCTTATGGCATTCAAAATTAAAGCAGCCTTAAATAAAATAAATCTATCTGTAAGTGTAATACATTTTGATTCCGCTTTTCCTGCAAAGAACTCAGGACATCATACATCTTCTCTTCCATCATATCCTTAGAGCAGCAGCCTTCTGAAGTAGGTTTGGCTGAGAGATGGTGGCTGTGGATTTGAGGCCAAAATATCTGGAGACTACCAGTTTGGCAAAGGCTGTTCTACCCACTGCTGCATTGCTCTGAATATATTGACATGTGTTTGCTCTTTTGTTCATATGTTTGCTCTGTGCAATTGTCATTATCTGCTAGGTTCACAGTCTGGGTAGAAATGTATGAGGGGTTTCAGAAGAGAGTTCTTGCCCCATAGCACTGCCCTTGCTTTTTCTGCATTCTTCCCTCCTCTGATACACATTTTCGTTTCACACTTTACCAGGCTGATAAGTCAGGCACAAAGCAAACCACTTTGCAAGAGCTCAGCTTCTCATCCCACCAATTGAAATAAGCAAGAGAAGAGTTGCAGAGAAGCAGCAACCAAGGTCAGTTCAGAAGGGTGTGGGCAGAATAGTAGTCTGTTTAGCATGAAAATGTCATGATGAAGCATCTTCCTGAGTTGTGCTGAGGCACTTGAAAGATGGAAGAGAAATGTCTTAAGTAAAGAACATGTTAAAAGTGGCTGCTCATAACACCTGGGTAGATATTTCCAAATGAAGGTACATTTTGACATTCCGGGCTTTCAGTATGGATTGGGCAGTGATAAATGAGGACTCTAGGTGGAAAAACGACACACCCTTACCTTTCCGAAACAGTACATAAGAGTCCACCAGTGCATCCCATTCTCAGTGAAGTTTGATCAGCGTTTTCTTCTTTAATGCAGTTGGGTCTATTGGTGAACAAAGCCAGCAATTGGTTTCTCCATAGGAAGGAAATGGAAAGAGGCCTCTGTGCCTTCAATAGGAGTGGAGTATTTACCCCCTGCAAATATTACCAGGCAGCTCTACAGAGACATGGCTTCATTCAGTGGTGGCTACAAGCCCAATATCCCCGTGTGAGGGTTTTGTGGTGTGTTTCTTTTAACTTCGTGGGGTAGCTGGCACTGCATGATGGGAAAGAAGAACGAGTGTTGGAAATTGCGCAGGTTCCAACCTCTTTCGGTTCTTTCTCCATCATCCCTTTTGTGGGTTGTTACATTTTTATTTCATTCTTCCTCCAAGAAATCTGAGCAACGTAGATTGATTTGATTACTTACTTACATTTATGCCTCACCTTTCTTCTGCCCTGGGCCCAAAGACATTGCTCCCCCATTTAGCTTCAGCCAAGTGGTGCCCCCCATGCTGCCAGATGGGGTCAGGCCTACCGTGTTTCTCTGCTTGCACATGCACTAGTTTCAAAAATTGGCCTGGTCCAGCAAGGTAAGTGAAGTGGTTTTACAGGCTCTGCAATGGTTTCATTCTAGTTGCTTATGTATTTATTACATACGATTGTGTCTTTGCTTGTATTCATTTACACCCCACCTTTCAGCCCAGGGTGGCTCACAAGCACCATAAAAAGCAATATGCAGTTGACAAAAACAATGACCAACTGAATTAAAAGGATTTTAAAGGATATTTTTTTTGTAAGGTTGCAAAAGAAGATGAAATATGGAGTTGCTGCTCTGTTAAAACAGTCTGCAATCTTTGCTTAGGGTGGTCACTTGCACAGAGAGAGATGACAAAAGAGGATCAGAGTTGCATAAAAATGGACAGACACTGTTTCATATGTACAGTGTAGGTCAACATTTAGTACCTATGACCATCATTTGAAAAATAAATTCAGTACTTCTTACCATAGCATGTATGTACCGCTCAGTCTGCCGTCCAGTCTTCAGTGCTCTCTCTCGCCCTCTCTTGTTCTGGTCCTTTACCTTTAAGCCGGACTTGAACTGGACAGCCTTTCAAATAGAGGACTGTTAAAGAGATGAGATATAACTACACCATTCTAGCTACAAGCAAAAGTGGCACTTGAAAGCAAAGCTTTCCAATCGAACAGAAAGAGCAAGGGGTGGTGGGGAAGGAAGAGAAAGGGAAGAGGATGCACCTATGAGCAGCCAGGATACTTACACGTTTGTGTTTCTGGCTCAAGCCAGTTTAGCCCTTGCCTGGCCCAGGAGAGAGGGGGCAGGCGAAGGTTGGGAAGGTGACGGGGGCAGAGTCCTTGCTTCGTGCAAGGCTGGTTGTTGCTAACAAAAGCCAGAGAGAGAGCAGCAGCAGCCTCTTCTCTCTCTCTCTCTCTCTCTCTCTCTCTCTCTCTGTGTGTGTGTGTGTAGAGCAGAGCTCTTGGGGGAGGCTGGGCTAGCTAGCGTGTGCTCGTGTGTTGTTGCTCGCAGCTATGTTCTCTGGCTTTCACATCCACTTGGCTTTTTACACTGGAAGGATCCCCAGCACTCTGATATTAGGCCAGGAAAATAGAAGGAGCAATAAAAAAAATAAAATAGAGGGTTTTCGGGGGTTTTTAAGAGAAGGGAAGGAAGGAGGGGGCTTTTAATGAATTGGCTTGAGTTAAAGCACTTAATTTTCAGCTTAAAATGCTTGAGGATGGGTAATGATTTGAGGGAGGGTGGGATGTTTGTTTGAGGTGGGCCTTTTTGCTAGTCTCCCTCCCTCCCCCGTCTCGTGAGCACATTGCAAATGGGCCTCCTACACACCAAAGTGTGCAGCTGTGCTTCAGTTTCCCCCAGTATCCAGCTACCCTCAAACGCTATCGTAATGCATATTGCATTTGCAGGATCCAAAGGAACATGGAAGGGATTTCTCTCTCTCTCTTTACTCTGCATTGTTTTCTCTCCTTTTGCATTGCTTATCAGACGGCACATGGCACATGTTCACCATTAGTCTCTGTAATGGACAAATACATCCTCCCCCCCTCCCCGCCAAAAAAGGGTGGAGAATTTTTTTTCCTCTGCCCTTCTTTCACAAGGCCTAAACTTGCTTCCATAAGAAAGCTCAAGGCTAGGCTGCCTTCAAGACAAGCTGCCAGACTCTTCTGCTAGGACTCAGCTAGATTGGTAAAGAAAAGGCATTTCATACGTGTTGTATATGCAATATAACAATGTGACACCAGAAGGCGCTGTGAAGTCCTGTCTTTCCCTACCAGATTTCCCTGTATGGGTTTGCAATGTGTTTAACTGAATTGCTTCTTTGACGTGTCTAGATCCAGCCCTAGTGTCAGCCCAAGAAGTAAAAGTGAGAATACCTCTGAGCATATGTAGAATGTCTTCAGTTCGCTATGAAGGTGGAAGCAGTAGCTGCTTTTGCAAATCTCAGTGTTGGAGCACCCAGGTCAGGACAGAATGGGATAACTTTTCCTAAATCTGATCACTTCTGGTATTTGAGATTAAGCCTTTAGGGTTGCGAACTGCTTTGGCCTGATCCTCTGCCTTGGAAGAGAAGATTGTTCTGCAGAAATCAGAAGGGGTATATTATTATTAGTAGTAGTATTAATATTATTATTTTACAAAGTATGAAGACAAAGTGACCTATAATGAGTATGGGGTTGCTCGTGCGTAAGTTGCCGCCTCTCCTGGCTATGTTGCCTTGTTAAACCTTTCTGTCTGGACAGCCCTTCAATTCGTGGCTGCCTCAGTCGCTAGCAGAATCCGTCAGTGGGCGTTTCTTAAACCTCTTCCAACATAAAAGTTGTTTGACGCCCAGTCTCCTCCTACTCTCCCTGCGTGGAAGTCTTCTGCGCAGGGAGGGCGTGGATAGCGGAGGACCCGTGCTCTCCCTGCTGGTGTCCAGTGAAGAGTCCTGGAGCCCTCTCACCGATTCCCCCATCTGCCCCCCTTTATCCCTGGTGTAACGTTGATTTGCTTCCCCCTCTGCTGAACTGCCTCTCTCCCTGCTTGGCCCTTCTCCAGCATCATTTGAGAGCCTTCCCTCCGCCTCAGGCTCCGATGTCAGTTCCCTGACATGACCTAATAATATCTTCAATCTATCTGTTTAGAGGCAAAGGAGCCTTGCCCTCCTCGTCATCTAGTGACCTTCCACACCAGTAGTCACTTGTCTCTTACACCCTTCTATTTGGGCACTTTCGGGTTTATTACTATTCATTCTGGAGATTAGATGATGTTGGCTATTTAATGAACATTCATGCTTGCAGGGAGACTAGATGATGCATCAAAGCAAACATTGTCCCACACTTTCCAGTGTATTTTATCTGTCACTTCCCCTATCACAAAAAGTCTAGTCTTTTAGCAAAGGGGGTTTGTTGCAGAAGAACTCCCAGTCAGCTTTAACTTTGCAACTTAGATTTGCCTGTATGTGACTGAATCCCACCCCCAAAACAGCCACCGTCTGAAAGTGCCTTTTGTCCCCTCCTAACATGTGAGATGGCTTGCTCTGCATGTGTTTCCACCACAAGTAGTATGGTGTAGTCCTGGGCTCCTTTTCCAGTGGGAGCCTTGTGGGTGGGGGTCTGTGTATGTCTCTCTTTCCCATCCCTTGCATTTTGGTTGCAGAGAGCAGAACTTCTCATAGAAAACCCCGGCCTTAGCCAAGACAACACCCTCAACATTAAATCAGCACAAAATTCCTCTGGGCTTTCTCAGAGTTCAGCCTGCAACTCTGACGAGGTATCTAGAGGCACATTAAAACAAATCTGGTCAAGTAAAGGGGCAGGCAAGTGATCCATGCAAAGGGCCTGACCTTTGTGGAGCTTCAAATAGAAAAGGCCTGTCTGTAAACAGTGGTAATTAGCCCTTTCAAAATTCTAACGACGATTAAAATGTAGGGATCGTTATTTTGTCAACAAACTTAGGAGGGCAGAGAGAAAACTTCAGTGCCAGCTTTTGCTTGCTGGCTCTTAAAAACAGAGGCACCCAATGAACTGAGGATGGGAACACAAGCAGAGGCCTTCCTAAAACCTTGGTGTCTCATCCGTAGAACAAGAGCCAGCCTGAGCTGTATCTGATATTAAGCAAGGACAGGTTGACTCTCCTTCTCACAACAAGGAATCAGCACTGGGAAGCGTCTTTTAACTCTGTAATAACAGGTTTCATAGTAAATGAATGCTGATGGTCAACTAGCCAATTATGGTTTAACTATCCCTTGTTTACAGCAAGGTGTAAAACATGCCTTTAGAGTACAAAGGATCAGACTGCCTAAGCTACAATTTGTCCTTCATCCCATTATGCTCCCCTTAAGCAAGGCTGGCTCTCTCTCCACCTCCCTCCCTCCCTTCTCTGTGTCTCTCTCACACACATAGGTATGAGCACTGAGGAACATACCTCCCCTCTGTTGATTTGCGTTTGCTTTATTTCAAATGCATATTCTTGTTTACTTTTCAAAATTTACATAAATGTCAGCATTGTATAATTTCTATGTTAACAAAGCAGTGAGCAAAATCCCTTGTATGTTTATAAAATATTATTGTTTAATTCATGTAGTTTAGGAATTCCAAATGTTGAGAATAGGAAGGAGGCCAAATACCATCTGTTTATAGCTCTGCTGCATCATCATATGTGCACTTAAAAAAAAAAAGCGGGAAAGAGCTCTCTTGGTCAATCCACTGTATTTTTTACTGTATTTCAATTCGGGGGCTCTATTGAATCACTCTTAGATCTTTGCCAACATTCCTTGATAAGGTTTAAATTCTGACCAGTTAAGCAAAAAGAAATGTATTCACTTCAGAATATGTGTTAATTACAGATCCATGCTAGCTTTGCACGACTCTCTCTCTCTCTCTCTCTCTCTCTCTCTCACACACACACACACACACACACACTTTCTCTCATTTTGTTTCAATATTCATTTGCTTTTCTGATAGGACAAGATTTGTGTGTCTCTGATTTTCACATGATCATGAGAACTTCAATAATTATGTGATCATGTCTTGGTTGTGTGACACAGGCCTATTTTGGACTACATTAGCAGCAGCATCTCTGTATTAATTTCATTCCCCCAGGAGTACTGGTTGGCAAACATTATTCCCATGCATTTTCCTATGCAAACAGCTTATAGGGCTAAATCTGCTTAGCTTCGGCAGTAAGGCTGCACCATGATGTGGAATAAAACTTTTCAAGCAGAAATGCCCCCTCTCTTGATTGCCACCTCAATCAGTCCTGTGGAACCGGGGGGGGGGGGGGGGGACAGGGGATGGGGGGACGACGACACTACTTTCACTTTTCAAATTCATTTATTTGAGATGAGGGTACTCATACCTCCATAGGTATGACTCTCAGAAATATATGCATGTCAACCTTTTGGAAAGATCATCTTCATCAGGCAGCTTGTATTGAGCATGAATAATTACTAGTAATTTTTATACTAGGTTTTCATACATCTCAAAAGTGGTCTGTGAATAACCCAGAATGGTAGCACTAGAGGCTAACATTGTGTTGGCGTGAATGTTGGGTTTGCAAACCCTGGCAAGTCTTTGACACACCTGCGGCCTGGATGCTACATGTCCCACATCCAATATCAATGTAGTCCCCAGAGTTCCAATACAAAATTTTGTGTTTGTGTTCAGGAGCTTTTATAACCGATACAACAAGTTGCAAGATGCATCAGCAGTCATCGCACAGTCTGGTAGACAGCAGGTTTGTGGAGCTTGGTTGTTGAAGAAGGAGCCATTTAAATCCAACAGTATTGTTGGTTGTATGTACTGGCATCACACAAAAACGTGATACCCTGTTTTTCCAGGATATAATGAATCACACATCCTCTATTCAGTTGCCATATTTGGCCATGACAAGACTTATCTGCAGTTGCTCTCAGAATATTTGTTTTTCTGTTTGTTCAAGGTGGTCCAACTGGTTTTGTCTGTTGTTACTCTAGGTGTTAGAGTCTAACATATGAGAAATGCAGATGCAGCTATAAAGCAATAGTTTGGGGGTGGAGTAGGGCTGTCCACCTGTCAATCACCTGATGCCACAATGATGTCAGCTGATGGGGCTTGCAAAGAACCTTGTGTGGTGCTTTAAAACACCCACAGTTAGCTTATTGGGACTCTTTGCAAGGAGCAAGAATTGCACCTTCAAGAATTGGCTGGCAGCTCTCCCCACCAATCACACTCTACTTTCTGCTGGAATCAGCCATACTATGGATTTCCCCTCTACAATTCCCCTTCAAAGTCCCTTTTATATGACCTATAAAGCCCTGTAGGTCCAAGCTATCTGAAAGAATGTACGGTATTCCCTCATAAGAACCTGCCTGGGTTTTGATCTCTTCAGGGGAGGTCATTTTCTCAGTCCTGCCACCCTCACAGGCATGCTTGGTGGGGACCTGGGAAAGGGCCTTCTCGGTGGCTGCTCCCAGACTCTGGAACTTCCTCCTTGAAGAAACTCAACTGGCTCCTTCCTTGTTGTCCTTCCACCAGCAGGTGAAGACCACCTTGTTCCAACAGGCTTTGGGGAACTGATTGCTTTTAATCAGGGGCTGGTGCCGTGCTGTTTTTTGTTGTGATTGTATGTTTTAAGATACAGTGGTACCTCAGGTTACAGACACTTCAGGTTATAGACTCGGCTAACGCAGAAATAGTACCTCGAGTTAAGAACTTTGCTTCAGGATGAGAACAGAAATCACACAGCAGTAGCGGGAGGCCCCATTAGCTAAAGTGGTACCTCAGGTTAAGAACAGTTTCAGGTTAAGAACGGACCTCCAGAACAAATTAAGTTCTTAACCCAAGGTACCACTGTAGATCTTAGAATCACAGAATTGTAGAATTGGAAGGGACCCTGAGGTCAAGGCCAACCCCTGCAATGCACGAATAGGCAGCTATTATTATTATTATTATTATTATTATTATTATTTGTACACCACCCTTCATCTGGAGATCTCAGGATACCATCATCTCAGATAGATAAGAACACAAGATATATGTATATAGTTGTAATTCTATTATTTGTTTTTTAATTATTCCCCCCCCCCTATGTTTTTAGTAATTCTTGTTTTTATCTATAAACTGTATTGAGTCACGTCAGGGGAAAAGGCGAGGTATAAATAAATATATAATAATAATAATAGTAATATAAGATGACCCCAGCTGGCTTGCTGTCACCACCAATCAACTGACTGATGCAGAGAGCAAGCTTCCCTTGCTTGCTCACCTGCCTATCATCTCATGTCATGTATGATGTCAGGAATGGGGCATGTGGGCATGGTTTTGGTGAAAAGGCCTTGTGGGCCAAATTGGGTCATGCAGCAGGACTAATTGAGCTTGCAGGCTGCCAGTTCCCACCCCTTCCCTGGTCTCAAATTACCTTGTTGCATCATTGCTTGCCTTGTGACAGAGGGATGAGCCTCTGTTCCATGGTCCCACAATGTGGCAACCACTAGTTCACTAGAAGAGTAATAAGGCAGATATTGCAACATCATTCACACAATACCTTTAAACACTTCCATCGAATTGGTGGATTTCATCCAGTCATCAGATAAAACAATTAACTTATTTACTCTAGAGTAGTCCTGCTGTTTGTTGGAGTGCCTGTTCCATCGGTTCCCCGCCCCATCCCAGGAATGTGACAAAAACGCTGATTTTCAAAAGGTTGTCAGATGTCTTAAGAAACCACATTGGGGGGAAAATAGCAGGGGCTCCTGAAAACGCTGCTACGTTAAAACTGCACGCTGTGTCCATGCCGAATACAAGGTGTGCTTGCTTAACTGAGGGATATGTCCTTTGTTGTTAAGTCACTAAGAAGATTTGCCTTCCAAGCCCATGTTAATTAGTTAGCTTGTCAAGTCCTGTAGACGTCTTTCCACCTTTAAAAGCAGGAGATTCCCTGAGAAATGGGCTTAAAACATCCTAGCAAGGGCTGGAACGCTGAATGCCCAGATTAGTGGCAGGCTTTGTTGTGCTTGCATCGGGGCAACCCAGCTGCAGTTTATCCTACTATTGCTAATGATGCTTGGAGTGATAGAGGTGGCTTGTGGAGCTTGCATATGGGGTCCCTTCCCTGAGGAGGCGGAATAATAGCTGCTACTCAGGTGGTATATGGGAGGATAAGAGCAGATCTGCAGTTGTGTTTCTGCCTGGTGCATGGTGACTCCGAGCGGCACAATATCAAGGTATAGAGTCTGAAGCAGGGCTACATATCTTCCTCTACCGCAGAGGGACCGATGTACAGGTGGAAAACCATGGCAGTAAGCTGGTTGTATCCCAGCCCTGTCAGAATGTACATCTGCGAATTAAATAATTTTGTTGCAAAGTGTTTGCCGTATTATGCAGTTGCTCAACTCCAAGCATTGCTCACTGTGTTGAAATTTCTTTTAACTTTTGCCCTTAAAGCTCCCTTGTGCCTGCTGCAATGTTCAGTGTTACAGCAACTCAAATTATTTAGCTGTACCCAGTTAGAGGGATATTGCCTCTTTAGTTGTGATGCAAGGAACTGAAGCTCAGACCCTTTGAAAAAACAGAAGAACCCTCCTCTTCTCCTGTCGCACACTCTGCTACTTACATTGTTATCTCCAAGCAATTGGTGACAGTAAAATGCACCTAAACCTCCCTTCCTATGAACAGCATTAATAGGTTACGAGGAACACAGGAAAGCAAGGAAGGCATATCGAGGGTGGGGAAAACGAGGAGGAAAGATGCTGACTAACAAATTTGTCTTGTTTTGCAGTGGTGAAATGTGTCATTTCAAATAGAAACGGGTATAATTCCAAGTCTGTAAAAGTAGAAATGCCATTAGGAGTGTGATGCAGTGCCCTTATGAATGACTAGCCAGGGAGAACTAGATTTCATGGCCTTGGGCGTTTTAAAAAGATAGCTCTGATCAAATGAGAAAACCAATCTGGAATCCGAGCCTTCAAGGGAGTAGCCATATAACTATTTCAGCCCGTAAGAGTGACAGCGGAATCCTAGACCACACAAACATCAGCACATGCCAGTCTGATTGTGGCTTTGAATTGCCAGGCGTTTAAAACTAGCCTGGATTTGCCACTTGGCAGGCCGCTACTGAACAGCATTAATTATGATGTGCCAAAAGCCAAAAACAGGCTCGGCCCATCCTGTGGAGTCACAGACATACAATACGCTGAGCTGAAGCAGCCTGAAGTAGCCAGGGGCTATTCTTTGTATCTTAGGAACTCTGGTTTATTCCCTCAGTGTGTGTGTGTTTGTAAGTTTCCGCCGAGACTTTCCATAGTCTAACTCTGCCTGTCCTTTGCTGGATGCATATGGTGCAGATGAAGAAAAAGGGTGGGATTGGAGGAGGAGAAGGGAAGAAAAAGCTGCACAACAAACTACCCCCCCAACCGGGTCTAGCAGGCCTGGACCATTCCTAGCCTGTCCTTGTAAGATGACCCAGTTTCTCTAGTCTTCCATCCTGTATAAACTGAGAGCTAATGTCTCCCACTCCCATACATGAGTGGGTAGTCTTGCAGGGGAGTTGACTCCCAGCAGTATTTAAAACCTCAACAGCCCCAACTCTCAACATCTAAAAGGGGAGAACAGCACCTTCCCAGCCTAGGTGCAACTTTTATGAGTGGCTAGTCAGAGCCACCTGTCAATCAGAACCTACTTGGCTCAAGAGCACCGTAGAAATGGAATGTAGCCAAAATTCAGTTATTCCTCCTGACCATTCAGGATGCTCTGTGCCTTGCGAGGAAGGCCTAGCTAGTTTTCTGAAATGTAATCTTCACTTTCTTAAAGTACCGAAAAAGCCCTTTCCCTTTTTCTTGCCTCTTATCCTTAATAAACTTTCAAAAATTGGCTGTCAGGGTTCTCTGTGTGCATTTGTGCCAGACTCAAAGGGATATTTTCCCTTCACATGCCTAGACCATTTGGCTTCACAGTGCTTGTGTTTATCAGTGGGATTTGGCAGACAAAAGTAAGCTCTGGTGAGAAATGGATTAAAACAGGATGATCCGTCTGCCTCACAAATAGTCACCTTGCACCTTCAGGTCTCACTTCCACCCAAGGGAACCCCAGGGAGTGTGCTGGCAGTCTACCTGAAGAACCCCTTGCACAGCTAGACTACCCAAAGTGGCAGTCATGGAAGGGGAGAAGAGAAAAGCCCTTTTCCATTACAGCATGTACTGAAATGCGTGTGGAGAGCTACAACCATCATGGTGCCAGTGATCCTGAGCCATGTACATGGCTTAAGCACAGAGATGGGAAACTGAAGGTCTTTCCGATATTATTTAGGCTATAATGCCCAGCTTTCCTGGCCACTGGGCATGCCGGCTGGAGCAGAGGGGAGTTTGGAGTCCCTCGCCATCTGAAGGGCCACATATTACTCACCCCTGGTTTAAACCTTTGTCAGAGCTTTCCTACCCAATGTGCTCCACGTGGAAGGTTCCAGCTTGTGAAGAATATAGCAAAGAGAGCACATGATATGATTGCCTTCTCGACTCAAGGCCATCACATCTATATCTCCATCCTTACTCTTATGAGGTCAGGATGGCATGCGTGGGGTCATCTGTGTAATCTTCATTTAAAAAGTACGGTGGGTTTGGTGTCATGACCCCAGACACAGACCCTCACATTACCCCAAGGAAGATGCAGATGAGGAGGTAATTTGGCCTTCAGCACTCAGGAGAAGATCCTCAACACCATCTCCTGGGCCTTCCAGACCTGAGGGTGTAGGCCTCTCACTCCCCTCAGACATAAGGGGATGAGCCCCCAGTAGCATCCCTATCATTTCCAAAGCATCAAATTCAGCACCTGCAGAATCAGACAGGTCAGCACATAGCTCCTTAACTACTGTATAGCCCTTGTCAGCCTGTATACAGCCTCTGATGGTCCCTGTTCTTTGTTGAGACACCTTCCACAGCTTAGGCAGCAGGGCCAGTGGGAGCTGGCCGGGGTACTGACTTGCTAGAAAGACTTGCCTTGACCTGAAAAGACAGGGCTTGACCTGCTTCTTCCAAGTCCCGGCCCCTGTAGAACAGGATAGTAGGTTAGGCTGACTGCCAGGATTGCCCAGTGATGTTCAAGGGTGGTGGTAGGGTTTTAACACAGTTCTCCCCAGCCCATGTTCAACACTGCCATACTGGGTCTCCGATCTTGACCTATAAATGACTTGGGCTTAGCTAGGAATCCATATTCCATTGAAATTTCCAAGATAAACTGAGAATGCCCTCTTGACTATTCCATCTGTGTGTCAGGTCTGGTGATGAAGGCAAGGCACACATGGAGGCATTCTCAGTGACAGCTTCGCAGTTATAAAATTCCTTCCTCTTGGAGGCTCGCCAATGTCCATGCCCGAGCATTTTTCCAGAAGTGCTGAGAGCTATTTTTCTGTGATTAAAGAGGGAAATCTGCAGAGTAACTGTGAGTCCACCCCTGCTCTCTGCGAACTGGGTGGTCTTCCTACCAGTTTTTTAAGACATCTGATTTTAGATGTAGTTTTGTAAATAGGCATTTATTCTTAAAATATGTTGGAAGTGGGGAGGCAGACAAACCTAAATAAGCACTGGCTTAAGCAAGAGATCCACCACCTGGGGCAGTTAAATGATTTGGATGGTAAATGCATTGGAAGCAAAAAGGGGCTAGGCTGTGATAGATGTCACCCAGGTGTGTGACTGGCAATTTGCGTGATGTAAGGGGATTTCCTGTGTGAACTAAGGCAGAAGGTTGGCATGCAGGCAGGCGGTCAAAGTGTTTAGGAGCTTGACTGAAGCTAAAAATGGACATTGCATGGAAGAGAGAGATTGAGAGATGTGCTTTGGATTACGGTGTGCTTGTATGACCTGGGAGGGGGAAAGCTTCTGTCTTGGGGGTCTGTGCTGATTGTTGCTTGCCATCTAGAGTTCTATAAAGTACCTTATAATGTGCCCTGAAAAGGAGACATGTAAACCAGGCCTGTGCATAGTTAAAAGAAATTCTACGGATTTCTATGGGGCGTACTGAAATAAGGGGTGCATGGTTACTTCCCACCTCTTTCAAGAGTTGAACTACACATGACTCTTTGATGGGTGGATCCCCCCCCCCGAACCTTATTTTAAAACCTTAAGAAGCTGTGGTAAGTGGCAACCTGAATTGAAAATTTGTGAAGAAGGAAAAATGCTGCTTACCTTTCTCTCTGCAGGCTGTTTGTCTTATCAAAATCACTGAGACCAGACTATTTTTGTCCTGTGGGGGAGATGATGTGGATATAGGTACAATTTGCGGAGGAGGAGCAACAGGTAAGAGGGAGATGATTAACTCTTCTCCTGTGTGTTGCTTTCCCCCTGCACCCCTTTCCCAAGCTGGGGTTCCTTTTCTATCCTGTGCTTTAGATCTAGATGTCGATGGCAATTTCTAACGTCAACAAATCCTGGAGTTGAGCTGTTAGAGACATCAAGGAAGAAATTATTTTTCATAATCGTTTGCTACTGTCTTGATGCTCCTCACTAAAGGAACTCCTAATAGTTTTTCCCAAAACACTTTTGATTTTTAAAACTTGACATGGGCTGGAAGACTCTTGACCTCCCCTGCTGTAATTGTACCTTTCAAGGTGACATTATCAAACACATCTGTCACATCACATACACTGATAAACATTATGCATATGCTTTAAAAACATAATGCATGGAAAAGCCTTATGGTTTTTGGTTTCTAACACTTTTTTTAAAAAGTAATGTTAGTTGCAGAAACAGCTAAAATAAATTCATGAATGGATGAACATAAGTGTCAGTGGTGAACAAACTATAGATTCTCACTCACCCCTTTTTGGTCAGACTTCCTCAGAGAAGAAAGCTTTCTGTTTCTAGCAGAACCTGACTCTGTATATTTCTGATTGGCTGGGCCTTGTGACAATCAAGAAACCGCCTCTCTCCATGGCTGGGTAGTGTGCTGATTGGTTGATCCTTGTGGCAATCACAAAACCACCTTCTGCCCCACCTTGTCCTGGAGCAAATTTAAAACGAAAGCACCTTGGGTTTCTTTTTCTTTTATAAAATTTGCTGAAGGAACGTTTAAGTAGATAAAAGTGTCAGGCACCTGACTATATATATATTTAAAAAAGCCCAAAGCTTGCCCAGGGAACGAGAGGAAATAGTTGAAATGAGCACTTATCCAAAGCCAGGTTTGTAAGAAGTAAAAGCTAAGGGAAACAGAATACACCCTCCTGCAGAAAAACTGCAAGGCTATAAGTGAATACAGTAGATCTCATCACACTTGAAGTTACATCTTAGTATTCTCTATTTTTAAGGATGCCCCCCCATCCAAGCATCATTCTCATTGCTGCATTCTGAAAACCTGTTATGGACCCCTAAAGATTTATCCTGATTGCTGACACATTGCACATACACAACTCAATTCTTTAGGAAACATTCTTGTTTAAAACCCCATAGACAGTGTTGGTGCATCACTGCTATGAAAAGACCTGTCTGGTGCACAACTGAATGAACAGTCCTGGCAGCAGGCACATGCAATATGATCCCATTGTAATACTGTTTGATGCAAGAGTATGTTTGATCAGTTACCAGTGATGAATATCATATCACATCAAACAATATGATACAGTCTCATTGTATGGAATTATGGCTGCTGTCAATCAGGCAGTCTTCTGCCCCTTTAACTGTCACCTTTGGGGAATGGAATAAAATGATAGCTACACATACATTAATAAATGAGCTCCTGCATGAATTCCATACAGACCTGTTGAGATTTTGTTGTTCTTTTCTTTCTGTGGTTTCTCTCTCTCTCTCTCTCTCTCTCCCCCCTTCATTTTCTTCTTTTTTAAAACACATACTGAACAAGAGTTCACTTAGTTTATAGAACTCACCATATGAGAAGCTCTATATTACCTTGTTATGCCCCGCTCCAGAATAACAGTAGATAAAACCCACTTAAGTTATATCTGTGGTATAGATCAGAGGTGGGTTACCTCAGGTCTGAGGGCCAAACATGGCCTGCCTGGTCTGCCTAGACTCTCTCTAGGTTACGCCCCTCATTAGCCCCACTTTGCAGCCTCCCTGGGTGTTTTTACGTGGCTGGAATGGGTCCTTGAACTCTGCTCATGCGTCTCGTTTGCCTCAATGGCAGTCAGCATGTGCAAAGGTAAAATTTATATTCTTTGCACCTCCCACTTTTGCCTCTAGTCCCACCCATGACTACCATGTGGCCTCTGGAAGGAAACACAGCCTTCAGTCTGAAAAAGGGTTGTCACTCCTTTTATGGATTCTCAGAAATTATCTTGCATCCTAAAGAAGAGTCCTACAAACCATGCTGACTATTCTGTAACTTTTTCTGCTTAGGCCTAATAGAGGTATTTCCTGTTGATGTTGTTATTATTATTATTATTATTATTATTATTATTATTATTAATTGACCTAACCATTCATTTTTATTTCCTAGTCTTTTCTTCTTTTTTTGAAAGAATTATATTGGAGTTTGATGAGCATTTCTTTAACATAAATTACCCCAGGAACAGCCTCTATATTGAAATCATTTTCATATTGCTTTTGTCTGTCTACTGTCCTAGTTGGTATATTGCCTGCCTCCACCAGACTACATAAATGTCTTGTCTGTTTTGGAGTGTGTGTGTTTCTTGCCGGGGTGGGGGGTGGGGGAGAGAATTGGTGACTTTTAGTTTCTTTGAGTTCCCTTTGTTCCTCACTACATCTGAGTGCCTGATTTATGTTTATATGTTGACATGGGCATTGTGGTATGTATGTGCAAGAGCCAGAGAAATGTCTACCACATTCACATATGTCAGTAAATCTGTAAGTCTGGGATCAACACCCCTGATTATTATAGTGTTTGTTTCTCCCACCAGCTGTCCCTTTCTCTTACCTATGCACAAGGAACCTCTGAGACAGCATGGTAGTTACAGGGCCTATGTCTGGTAAGTCACTGTGACAGCAAGATGGTAGACTAGGTGCCATTAGTTTCCTCCAGCAGGACCAATCTTACTTCCTTTTTTTTTTTTTTTGAGCAAGCATATCACATAGGGAAGCACACGTCTCTTTGTCTCTCATTTTAACTGCACAAGCACACACTCTCAGGCATAGCAAAAGGCCAGCAACTCCGTGTATGATGTGTTGCTTGCTGTGCTCTGCTTCTCTGATGGCTTCCTGCAAATCTCACAAGATCTGGTCAATAGTGTATAGATACAGGGAAATAGTGCAGTTGTTGTTGTTTTAGAAAAATCAAGTATTACCAATAATTTATCCTAGTAGTAATGGATCTGCAGCCTGGGCCTGAATGAACCACTATTTACAACCACATCTGCTCTCATTCCTCTCTTGTTTCCTGTTCCTCTTGCTTTCCTCAAGCATTTGCTATCCCTGTCTCTTGCTCCCCTTTCCCCCCTTTGTTGACCTCTTGATCGTAAGATACCTGGGGGCAGAGGACCTGGTGCTTTGTTTTTTCATGCATTGCTGTGAAAAGTGCACTATTAATTTATGATGCCAAACAAACAATTAATTAGAATAAGCCCGCTCAGACTGACTGTTTGAAACAGGTCTTCCTGTGCACCGCACCAACTGCAGTATGCTGCCATGCTGACTTCGGCTTCTGACGAATACAATAGCCTGTCACATTGCCATCTTCAGCTGTCATGTTGTCATCAGGCATCCCAGACTACTGAGGGTCAGCATTCAAAGAGAAGCTCTTCTTGCAAGCTGGGCTTCCTTTCAAGATCAAGCCCAAGTGTGAATCCATTGTGCTGCACCTTATTGCGCAGAAGACGCTAATTTGGTAGATGCACTCTGCCGTATTCTGATCTTGCCTGATCATACAAGCTGTGTGCAAGAGATCTGCCAAAAGTGGTTGGAGTGGCAAATTTCTGCCAAAACTATGCTGCGTGGCATGGTATGTCGTGCTGTCGAATCTTAGGAAAACTATAACCCGGTAAGGTGTTGTTGTTGTATGAAGAAGAAGAAAAATACCACTAAGATGCAGCCTGAGCTGAAAAGGGCTTACAGTCCAAATATGAGACATATGACAACAAGAGAATGGAACTGTTGTTGGAGCATCCTTCCTTCTCTTTAAAAATACTGTTAACAGTAGTGCTTTCCTCCTGAGGTGATTATACCTCCAAGGGCTCCTTCTGTTAAAGAAGTATTTGCCTAAGTCTTCTGGCCCTGTTCCAGTTTGGATAATTACACTCAACCTAATTTATTAAGTTTTATTTGGATGGCTGTATTCGCCCCTTTGCTTGCCTCAATATTGTACAGGCGACGCTGTTAAAACTTCTGCGCGTTTTAGGAGAGGGTGAAGGCAATTCGATTTAGATATACAAATAAGACTTTAATGATCCCTGATTTGTGAAGCTGTTGTACGCATAGCAATTCTGGAGCCAGCATTGTTAGGAGGTGAACTGAAACGGGAATAAAAGTGAATTTGTGCTCCCATTAAGATTGCTTTCAGACTTCAAAGCGGCTGTAAATCAGGCTGCGGTGTTCCAGTAAGCTCACCCATTATCCACCGTAGTCGTGCTGACATCTTTTCAAATCAGAGGATGAGGGTTTGGTGAGGAGGCCTCATTTCATGCAAGTACTCCCAGTAATGGAAAACGTAACAAAAAGTTGTGCAAGTGTATGTACCACTGAAGTATAGAGTTGTTTTTCTTTCACAGAGCCTAACGTGCATCAGGTTCAAAAGGGATTCTTCTGCTGTTACACCACCACCACCACCACCACCAACAACCAAAAGAAAGTTAAGCATTACTTTGCTTGAACATAAATGGTAAATAAAGGCACTGAAGATTCCTTCTCTCTGAAGAAAAGTTACATGACCCATATGCTTATGCAGCCAGTTGGTCTAAGAAAAGCAATTTTTGGCATGCTTGGATTGCACAAACAGAACTATTTCTTCAGAAGAAGAAGATTGTGCAACATGAAACTTGCTACTTTAGCATAGCTGGTCCAATGCTGTGCACATTGGGCAGCTCCAAACTTATCCTATTTTGCTGATTCTGTGTAAAAACAACATGCCGCAAATATACAAGCAACTGACTTCATTCGTTCATTGTACTGACCAAAAATACCAGAGAGACAAGTCTGGATGATGGGGCCATATAGAAGGCCAAGACTTTCTAGGTGGATACCCTTGGAGATGTACCCGCATGCCAGCCTGAGTATTTTCCACAAATGTGGTAAAATATTTTGCTCATGCTTGCTTTCAGTGCCTAAGGTTATTATGGGGAGAGAGAATACTTTGTTCTGTTGGGATTGGAGCAACAGTCAAATAATGTTATATGCATTTTAGAATATATGTGTCAATATTTTTAGGTAGATAGGTTTATGTGTGTCACTTTTAAATATTTATTATCGGTGCATAAAAAAAGAGTGACTTCAAAACATTAAACATTATAATTACAAAACCATGATTGTCTCTGTTTTTTAATGTGTTGGAATCCACCTTGATCTGTTAGGAAAGAGTGGGATAGAATATTAAAATATATAAAGTGAATTGAGACCAGTGGAATATGTTAGCTGAGATTGACTTGTTTTATTGATTTCAGTGGGGCCCATGGGATACTAACTTTCTCAGTGCAGGGGCCATTAGACACCACAAAAATGAACAGGGACTTACTTGCAATTGACAGCCACAACACAGAATCATATTGTTGTATATACGCTTTGGACCCACTGATTTTAGTGTGACTTGAAAACGCCGAAATGTTGCACAGGATGATGGCCAAGTATAAGAGAGAACTCTGCCTCATTCATTTCAGGCACCAGAGCTTAAGGAGTTAATTTTCTGCGAGCTGCTCAGAAGCAGGTCAGGTATCTGTTAATAATCAATATCAAAATCTCAGTCCCAGATTTTTATTTTTTTTAAGCAGACTGCACAACTAACAGTTTGGCACAAGGTTGGAGGGAAAAACTGTGCCAGCTGACTGATGAGCACCCATCGTTTTTAATTAATTGGGTTGAAAAATGTTTTGTGTCAGGTTGAATTTAGGAGCTCACTCAGCTGTGATTCTCAGGACATATAATTCCCACACACCCCCACACGCATACCTTGCTGTCTTGCCAACCCACCCTGTAGAAATTCTAGAAGAGAACGTATAGAGGAAATACTGGGTAAGTTATAGAATTATGGCAGACAAGCAGAAGCACTAAAAGTATGCGTCATTTTCAGGAAGGAAAAATGTGTGTCAATATTGTTTCTTTAAAGTTTTTAGCTGGTTAACTTACACAGTTTTAATCAGACGACTCAAAAGAATTATCTAAATAAAAGCACAGTTGACATACAGAGTTGCTATTGTGAGGGCATTAAATGACTGTTGCATCTCCCCCCTCCTCTGCCGCCGCCGCCGCCCAATAACTATAGACAATTGGAAATCTTTCAAAACCCACATTTGCTTAAACGGAGAGATGGACATGGATTGTTTGTGTGCCATCAGCACTGTGCTCCTTTTCAGCTTCTGTCTTTCTCTGTGTGTCAAATTACCACACACTCCTTTTCTTTTTTTTTAACAGAGAATTTGTGGAATATCTTGGGATTGCTCTTTAAAATAAATGAATGTTTCTGTCAGCTTTCCCTTAATATAATCGGTTCTGATATCCTCTTTGTTCATGCTGTTACAGGCTTCAGTCGAAGGGTTCTTTGTGTTAACTTTTTTAAAGTTACATTACAAAGAGGTTTTAAGATTTCCCAACAGGGTTTTTCCCCCCCTCTTTCTTTCTTTCTTTTTTTTTTTAAACAGGAGCTTTTGATCTCAAACCTGCTGAGGCCAATGAAATCCTTACCAATTCTCCAGCTACTCTTCACTATTGGAATTTGAAAAGACCCACCTGAAGGATTTAACTCCCTGCATGGTTTCTGCCATCCCTTTTGAGAGTTCCATTCATGTAGACAGTGAGGGGGTCTAAGGCACCCTTTGTGATCTGCTAAGTAGCCTAAGGTGCCCTTTGCATAAAATCTACTCCTGAGGAAATAAAAACCGGGAGGACACAAACCTATATACCTTATTTCCTGCTATCTTCACTTAAAGGAAGAGTGCAGGGGGGCTGCTTAACATCCTTTGCTACCTAAATACCTTTTGGACATGGGAGTTCAATAAAAGAACTTTCATTGCATCCATTACCCTACTGTGGTGCATAGCAAATTAGATTTAAAAGGGTACTCTTTCCCTTACAGCTATTTCTATCATTTTCTTTAAATTTTCAATTTAGTGTCTAGTGACAGAATATTCCATAATGTACTTTAGAACTATATAACACCAATTATGCTAACTGTGAACATTATTTCAAAAGAATTAGAGTTATATTAAGTTATAGACAAACCGTTGGGGAAAAGGTCAGGTTAGAAGCAGGGAGAAAAAAAGCTTTGTGAAAGTCAGTGTTAGAAACTCAGTGATGAATTTCTATTCCCCCCCCCCCCTTCTTCCCTACATTTTGTAGAATGTACACAGCATGGATTTCTTCTCTGAAATGCTGTTCGTTAATTAGATGAGCATAAACCATGTTCCCTTGTTATTTCACATCCACACGTTTCTCCATTAAGAGCTACTGTTGACTATTATCGGTTGTGCTGAAACATTATTTTTAATTTTGAGTCACTGAGTAGCACAAATGATTACCCAGTAGTTGCTTTGTAGATAAAAGATCAGTTAGCTGAACAGCCTTGAAAGAGTATCATAAACTGAAAATTATGTTGTGCCTTACAGGATCTTCTAACACAAAAGCTAGGGACTTTGTGGTATAGGCTATATATTCAACTAAAAAAAAAAAAAAAGTTCAGTGCAGAGTAAGTCATAAACAAGAAAATGCAAAATTGAGCAACTCCTACCTTCTTTGTCTGCTACGTTTACATTGTGGGATTAGTAAATGAAAAGAATAGAGATATCACCAAGCCCATAAAGAATTAATGGCACTGTTTTTAAAGTTCACATTTGATTGAATAAAATGCATCAAAATGGTTTTTTTGTGTGTGTGTGTTCTCCCCCAAATATATAACCTGTGTTTTTTGTTTTGTTGTTTTTTTTTTGTTTTTTTTAAAACTGAATTCTTAATGTCTATCCTATTCTCATAGCTCCAGATTTTGCATCCTTTCTGGTAAGATATCCTATTATTCTGGGAAGTTTTCAGTTTCCTTTACAAGCCCCTGCCACAACATAGAACATGCTTCTTCACACATGCGCATCCCTTGCCACCAGCCATCCAGACAAGCAAGAAGCATTATCAGAACTTGTTTTTATCACAATTGTTTGTTTCAGCACTAAATTAAGGATACTAATATATGGTTGCCAGACGTCCCCGTTTCCCGGGGACAGTTCCCACATTTAGAAATCTGTCCCTGGACAAAATCCGTCCCTGGAATGTCACCGGATTTCATTTAATGTCCCCAGATTTATATTTTAGGTGTTGTAGATTTATTAGGAGAAATGAATTTTGCATGATTGGTTCAACGGCACAAGACATATGGGGACTTCCGGAAAGGCAAAATGGTGGGCGCCACGGCAGCGGGCAGCTCCTGAAGCCAGCCAGGGCCAACTGCGCTACCAGGCGGGCTCTGGGCTACTGAGGCTGCCACAGCCACTTCCAAGGGAGAACCGGGGATGCTTGGTGCGTCAACTGGGGGACCCCCTCCAACCCAAATCGAGCCGGGAGTGAGAGTGCCTGGCCACCCGGCCGACTGCCCAGCAGGCAGCGGGAAAACCCCAGAGCTGACGCAGAGAGAAGGAGGAAAGGAGAAGGAGAAGGAAGGGAGAGAAAGAGGAAGGAGAAAAAAGAGGGGAGCCCCGAACTTGCTGCGCCATTGAAGTAGGAGAGCACCGGGAGGACAAGGACACATGGCTGAGCCCAGGCCTGACCTGAGCCTACTCCACAGCAGCTAGTGCTCCAAGAGAGCAGGCCGGGGCCCAGAGGAAGGCCACATGACAGAGGACACCACAGAAGAGAACATATTACTTCTTTTTTAAAAAGAAAACACCAACTTTTAAAAATAACTTTTATTTCTCTTTTCAAAAAAAATAAAAGTGTCCCTGGATTCTTTGAATTTTTTTTGGGTAACCTTATACTAATAGTCACTGGTTCATCACCTTAGGACATGGGTAGGCAAACTAAGGCCTGGGGGGCAGATCCGGCCGAATTGCCTTCTAAATCCGGCCCTTGGATGGTCTGGTCAGTTTGTTTTTACATGAGTAGAATATGTGCTTTTGTTTAAAATGCATCTCTGGGTTATTTCTTTTTTTTCTTCAAAATATAGTCCCCCCCCCCCCAAGGTCTGAGGGACAGTGGACCGGCCCCCTGCTGAAAAAGTTTGCCGACCCCTGCCTTAGGAGGACACACATCAGTGTTAGGTTAAAAAAACCAAAAGTGCATATACTGCACCCCCTGTGAGAAAGTTATTGATTAAATAAATAAGATGTACATAGAATAGAAAATTATGCTTTGAAAGTGTAACTCTGTTTTCGCTTTGCCTGTAAAATGATCTTGTTAAAGCATTGCTATTTCGCTTTAATATCTTCAGAGCAACAGCTGTTACACAGTTCATCATAGAACCCCATTTGATGACCAGTGGCAACATTTGGTGACACACCTCCAGGGTGCAAACTGTGCCCATTCCAGTTGTAGCTGCTTGTGTTCTTTGCTGCGTGCATATTACAATAAAGTCCAGGTAATGACCTTATCGAGCTTGGAGAGAGACTGAAGGCTGGGAGAGGGAGTTCTATTCTCAGCTTTCTTGTTACCAGCTTCTTTGGTAAGTAACTTAACCTGTTGTCCTCAGTATCCCCAGCAAAATGGGAGGCCTTAATACTTATTTAGTGGGATAACCGAGCTTAATACTTACCTAATGGGATAATAATGCTTACCTATCTACCTCATGAAGTTGTTGTGGGGATTAATTAGTTAATAAGTGCTTTGGGGAAGGTAAGCAGCACACAGCAGGTTGACCATTATTACAGCAGGACTGTCTATCATCATCAGTTGTTTGTGGCTTAAGGAAGTGCTATATATTTAGCAGGTTACAGAGCTATCCATTTGGTACTCCAAACACTCCCAGTTGGAATCAGCTTCTTATAATGTTTCTGGTCTAAACAGTGTTTAAGCATCTTGAACTTTATTGCACATATAAGACTGCAACTACAACTGGATATTGAGCATAAATTGTGAGCAGAACATAAAGAACAGATGCTTTTTTTGCTCCCTCTCCAGATGCAGTACACAAAACTGGAACACTTTGCACTAAAACTTTTGTTTTGCTGAAGTTAAAGAAGCTGACAAATAGATATTTTGCAATAGCTACATTTTCCTATTCATTTATTTAAGAGATATCTAGCCCGCCCTTCATCGGTTATAATACCAGGATGGGGTATAACATA